CCAGAGAGACAGACCACAATACACAAGTGTCAAGTTGCGCAACACACTTGGCATCCCACGCGGCCTCTTCACACCTCCGCCCGCCGCGCGCCGCAGGGCTCTGCGAGGGCTCCGGCGCCTGCGGCACCGACCGCCTTGCCGACCAGTGCAACCCGGGCGGCTTCGACGTCTACCGCGTCGAGTTCGTGGTCTCTCCGCCCTCGCCGCCGCCGCCGCGGGGGCCCCCGCCCTCGCTGCCCCCGTCGCTGCCTCCCTCGCCGCCGACGCCACCGCCGTGGTCGCCGCCGCCTCGACCGCCGCCGCCGCAGGCGCCGCCGCCTCGACCGCCGCCGCCGCCGCCGCCGCCGCCGCCGCCTCCGCAGGCTCCTCCTCCGCCATCGCCGCCGAGGCCGCCCCCGTCGCCGTCACCGCCGCCACCGCCGCCTCCGACGTCCCTCTTCGACTGGCTCGTGGGCGACTGGCTCGCGGGCGCGGCGGCTCTGCGGCAAGCCCGCGCCGCCGTGCGAGCCTCCCACGGACCTTCTCGGAGCTTCGCTGTGTTAGGTCCAGAGGCGGAGGACAACGCGCTGTTGCTGATCCTGGTCGCCGGGATAGTATGCGAGGGGATGCGAGGCAGGGGGGGGGGGGACTCGCGCTTTCAATGCCGCGCGCGAGGCTCTCGGGTCTTTGGACGTGGTGGAGAGGCGGGGGAGCGCATTGCCCTCGCCCCCAAGTTGGCCTCGCCTCCCTCGCCCTATCAGGCCGTCACCTCGACCGTCACCTCGTGCGGTCTGCTCTGCATGCTCGTCATCCTCGCCCACCTCGTGCGGAAACTGGGGCGGCAGCACGCGCCTGCGCAGCAGTTCCTACCCCTCGCGGCGGACGAAGGGGGTGGCGGCGGCGCTCACCACGCAGCTGCGTGGGCCGGCGCCGTCAGCGCCGGCGGCAGGTCGGGGTGGTCGCGCTTGTCCGAGCCGCCCGAGCCCGCCTCCGACGTGGCGGCGGACACGCCGGACATGCGCTGCGCCACCGGGGAGAAGCTCGAGCGCGTCGCCGCCGCCGCCCCGACGTGACGGGAGGGAATCACGGTCACTGAGGGAGAGGAGGTGAGGAGCAGGAGAAGGGAGTGTCCGTGTCCAGCGTGTGTCAGCGTGTGTCCCCTGTCGCCGCCCGGCCGCCCTCCCCGTGCGAGCGAGAGCTGGGGTCGGTGTTGTGTGGCTATGCGGGCGTGTCGCTTTCACTATAAGCACGCTAATTTTCTTTTTGCCTCGCCCCGACACGAGCGAGCGGCCGACCGTGCCGGCGGCTAGCCGCGGCGCCAGCTGCAGGTGCACAGCTCTCGCAACTACGGTCTGAAGGGTGTGGATGCTAGGTGTAACAAAAAAGGGGGACGCGACCCACCTCGCGACAGACGGTCCCGCGCCTCGCCGCTAGGACGGCGACACGGCCGCGGCTCGTGTGCGTGTCGCCGTCTTTGTCCGGAGTGAATACTCCAACGCGCTCGTCGGTGACGGTGTCCCCCGATTTCGCCGCGCTCGGCGAACCTCGACAGCGCTTTCGGTGGCATGCAGCTCTTTGCGACAGAAGCCTGGAGAGCAGCTCCTCTGCTGCTCACACACTCTGCACAGCTGACACAGCCTACTGTGCGGCTGCCACAGCTGTGACAGCGATGGGCTCGCCCTCACTGGCCCTCAGTCACTTGTGCTGCGGCTTGTGTGAGCGACACTGCTCGGCGACTGCCGGCACACTGTGAGACCATGGGTGTGAGGTAAAACCACGCTACCAGCGCTTGGTCACATCAGCCCTGAGGTCATATCCTTCTCCTCTGTTGATGGTAACACTTGTCTACTCGCTGGAGCCGAGCAGGAGGGCTTGGCGCACAACCCCTGTTCAACTCACCCTCCACACCCCCGGTAGCGGTACGCGCCACACCCCCGGTACGCGCAACTCTACCAACTTCGAACTTGAGGAAACGCGCCTCGCGCCCGTCGATCGGAAGCTCGCGGAGGGGGCCTCCTCGACCGGAGTCGAATCCACGTTTGCCTCGAGGGCACGTCCGACCGTCCGACGGTTGTAGCGCATATATCACGAGATGCAACCCAAGCTCCACAAGACTCAACGGCTCTCCCCGGCGCACGGCACCCATGAGCAGAAAACGCGCGCGCGCAACGAGATACCCCCGAACTACCGGCGGGCCCGCCGTGGCCGTCCCCGCAGCGCGCGAGCGCCTCCGCCGGGGCGCGCGTGTCGCGCGCTTACTTGAGCGGGACGAACTTGGAGGACGAGGTAGCGCCGATGCCGGGCCTGCCGTGACGGACCGGCTTGTAGGTGATCGAGAACTGGCCGAGGTACATGCCGACCATGTCCGCCTGCGACGGGGGGGGGGGGGGGGGTAAGGTGGCGAGGAGGAAGGGGAGGGGCCAAAAAGGGCAAGGGGCGAAATTTTTGCCGGTGGGGGGGCGGGGGGGGGCGGGGGGCCCCGGGGGGGGGGGGGGGGGCTG